ATTCCTTTTAGGTAGGGTCTGGTTAGATGCTGCTAATGAGAGGCATTTATGTGAACTTTGGAACTCTGGCCCAGGACTTTGAATCTTGACCAACAGCATGATGTGAGGGCAAAGAGGGGAAGGTGTGAGGGTGGCCAGTGGCAGAGAAGACACTTAACCAGAAACTCTGCATTACACGGTCAAGGCACTGTCTGCTTTCTCTTGGTCTCCTAGAGTTGTCCTAATTCTCAATCATCCCTAATCTGGTTCTACCAGCAATTTACTGCGGCTCTGGATATTCCTGTAGTAAATATCATTTTTCTTAAGGTACTGAACTAGCTTCTGCTCTTTGCATCCATCAAGTGCTTTGTTTCTACTAACAGACCACATTATACAAGTCTACCTCCCCAACCAGCCCGTCAGTTTCTTGAGGACTGGAGAATGTCTTTTTTCTCTTTAAACCTCCAGGACTTAGAGTAGTGACTGACTGACACATAGGGAACCCTAGTAAATGCAAAATGAATATGATTTTTCACATGTTTAAAAAACTAAGAGATTTGCAAATAAATCTCTTTAACACTGAATGTTTAACATTGAAAAATAGCTCAAATGAGTCAAAAAGTCTTCCATACCTTACATCAATTTTACGCTCACATGGAAATCTCTATGCTTCATAGTAATCTTCTCGAGTTTAACTTTTTAATATACATTTCATGAAGCAACTCATTACACTAATAACCATACTCCTGTAGCTTTCTTTCCTCTGTTATCATACAGAATTTTCCACCATCATATTTCCAAATGGGTAGAATAAAGCTGCTAAAGTGGGCAGGTCCACACTCAGCACTCCCAGGAGCAAACTATAAACCTCTCTCTCCCGGCCCTTTCCAACCCACAGGGCAATCCATGAAGCCCAGTAGGCAGCTAGTGAGTTCAGTGTCCAGAGGGATCACCATCTGTTTCTCTACCCCTAATAAATAAAGTACCCCTGCTCTATAAATTCACTTTGCTTGTTAGACTGAGACCTAGAATGAAAATGGAGATAGAATTTTTGTCCAATTTAATGGCTTAAAAAAAAGAACTTTTCTTGGGTAGTAAATTTATGCTGCAAGAATCTAGGAGCTACACAGCAGTCTGAATTTGATCTGGTTCAAATAATGCTACCATGTCCTAAAATCCCAGTCATTATACATTTTCCAAATGTACAATGTCATCAAGGTTTTACGACATTTCCTACAAAAAGGTAGCACTTCATCAGTGGAAGCTTGAATTCAGGTATGGGAACAGAACGCTACGGCTGCTGCATGAAAATTGTGCCGCACCTCTGACTTTAGTATCATAGCTGCATGGGGATAACACACCAAACCATTTCCGTACACAAACCTTTCTGACCTGTACTAAAAGAATTCTATTTCTTGGAACTATTGAGTAAAGCCAAAAACATGTATGGTAGGACCAAATCTATTATCGATGACCTGTTTTCCTACAAAAGTTTGATCAGAGATATTAGGCCACCTGGGGTTCTCTGCTTATTCAATTTCACTTCCTTCCTCAAGCAACAAAAGGCTTAGAGCATCATGTCTGTGCCTGCTGCTGACATGTGGCCTGTGCACATAGCTTATGGGGTACACAAGACTTCTGAGACCCAGGGCTTTGAAGGCAAAGCTGACAGATATGAGGTGCAAGCCTAGCTTCACCAGGTTAAACATGGCTATGAAAGGAGCATACCTAGTTCTACTGGCATCAAAACACCATGCTGGTTGCCAGAGAGTCTATGGGAAAGAAATATTAAGTAACACTGAACCTCTGACATTGACACGAGTTTATTATTCTTCCATGCCAATACACCCTAATCCAAAGCTTATGCTGTTCCAATCTGGGCCTGCCCTAAAATAGCCAATTATGCTGAACGTGGTCAAAACTCTAAGAAGTCTTCAGTCCCAAAGACAATCTTTCATTAGCTCATCAGCTCCTGTATTATTTCCAAATTTTGAAGTGGTTTTTGAATTGTGTGCATCACTTCTTTAGATATTATTTCTCTTTTACACTGCAGATATAATAGTACTCCTTCTCCATTACTATATTGAAAACTTGAAGCTAAACAACCTCTCCAAATATACATGAAATATTTCCAAATCCATCACTGGAACAGTTTAAATAAGTGGGATTGCTATCCTATTGTCAAAAGGAGCCATAATATATAATTGGCTTTGTTCTAGAACTTCCAAACTGATTCCAAACTTTTAAATCTGGTGGAGGGGGCAGGAGGAGGCAGTTTAAAATTTTGCAAAATATTCATGTCAGCAAAAGAAGCTGTTTATCACTTCTGCACTGAAAGTGCCTTCCCAAAATCTTTACTGAGTAAAGTGCTGCCATTTATTCCTCAAGAATGAGGGAGCTTAGAATGGATAAAAAACAAGGTTCTACTATAGAGCACAGGGAACTATATCGTCTCCTAGGATAAACCATAATGGAAAGGAGTATTTTTTTAAAAAGTATGTAGAAAGCCTAGAGATAAACCCACAGATATATGGTCACCTAACCTATGACAAAGGAGGAAAGAATATACAATGGAGAAAAAAGCCTTGGGAAAACTGGAAAGTTACATATAAGAGAATGAAATTAGAATACTCCCTAACACCATAAATTAAAAATAAAACTTGAAATGGATTATAGACCTGAATGTAAAGCCACACACTATGAAACTTTTAGAGAAAAACATAGGCAGAAGACTGTTTGACACAAACCTCAGCAGGATTTTTTTTGACCCACTTTTGAGAGTGATGAAAATAAAAACAAAAATTAATAAATGGGACTTAATTAAATTTAAAAGCTTTTGGACAGCAAATGAAACCATAAATAAGATGAAAAAACAATCCTCAGAATGGAAGAAAATATCTACAAATGAAGCAACTGATAAAGGATCAATCTCCAAAATATACAAACAGTTCATGAAGCTTAAGATCAAAACAAAAGACAACTCAATGAAAAAAACGGATGGAAGACCTAAATAGACATTTCTCCAAAGAAGACACACAGATGGCCAAGAGGCACATAAAAAGACACTCAACAACACTAATTATTAGAGAAATGCAAATCAAAACTAAAATGGGGTATCACTTCACACTATCAGATTGGCCATAATTTTAAAAATCAACAAATAATAAATGCTGGGGAAGGTATGGAGAAAAGGGAACCCTCTTGCACTGCTTGTGGGAATGTAAATTTGTACAGCTACTATGGAAAACAGTATGGAGATTCCTTAAAAAATTAAAAATACAGCTAACATATGATCCAGCAATCTCACTTTGGGACATATATTTGGAGATCACACTTTGAAAAGAGACATGCATCCCAATGTTCACAGCAGCACTATTTATAATAGCCAGGACACAGAAGCAATCTAAATGTCCATCAACAGAGGAATGGATAAAGTAGATGTGGTACATATACACAATGGAATATTACTTGGCCCAAAAAGGAACAAAATTATATCATTTATAGAGGTGAGGATGGACCTGAAGACTGTAATACAGAATGAAGTCAGTCAGAAAAACAAATATCATATTTTAACACAGGTATGTGGAATCTAAAAAAAAGTACAGATGACCTTATTTGAAAAATAGTAACAAAGACACAGATGTAGAGAACAAACATATGGATACAGGAGGGAGGTGGGCTGGGATGAACCGGGTGATGGAGGTTGATATACACAGACTACTATGTATAAAATGGGTAACTAATGAGAACATCCTGTGAGGATGGAAACCACTGAGGATGGAGAGACGGCTTCATAGGCATGCAACTTGCGTACGTACACCGGGCCCCCGTGCTCAGAAGGGCCCCAGGCTTAGTTTTATGCTTCACTATGATCATCCTGAAATTCTCCATAAAGTCTGAATAAAAGGTCTTATATTTTCATCTTGCACTTGGCCCCACAAATTAGGTAGCTTGTTGTGACTAGAGAGGTTTGGTCAGAGTGTGATATGAACAGTTTTCTGTTTTAAAAGAATTACTCCAGTTTGAATGTTAAGAACACCCAGTAGGAAAAGTAAGGGTTGAAGCAGGAAAAACAGCTAGGCTGCTGTCAATACAAATAAGGGGAGAGGTGATGGCAGCAAATGTCACCAGGAGAAGGGCCAGTTAGGTCCCATTTGTCTGCAGCTGCCTGGTGACACGCCTGTCTATGGTGGTGCCCTGGCCAGCCAGCTCCTGCTTCTCCGCACTGGTTTCTGCTCAGATTCCATGCTGCTGCCTGTTAATCTGAGAGCCCTATGTGTTTCCCAACAGCTTCTTTCTCTTAAAAGAGCAGGTACTAGTTTCTCTTCTTGCCTACCCTTTTCTCTGGGGAAGGCAGGGCACCCTTTGATCCCACCAAAACTGTACACAGTAGCAAACAGGAATTCTTCAAAAGAAAAATCTGGGTGTTGTCCCCAGACGTGAATCCCCTACTTTGGAGAAAATGAAAGAAAGAAGAGCCCTGGCCAGGTGCAGTATCTGCTGTGTTAAGTCACTGTGTTACAACTTATTACACCTTGTCTCACAGACTCCAGTGAAGTAATGGGTGTAAATATTACTTCACACCCACTAAGATCTGTATGAGTCTGACAGGTAAGAGCTACTAAACTTTATTTAAACACAAAATGCACCTAAAATACCTTTAAGACTCACAAAACACATTGACTGCTCAATTCTCAGTAAAGAAAAGGAAAACTTAACAATAAATTTTAGATTTATATCTAAATTTGTACAACTATCTCTATGTTTAAGCTAGTAAATGAAAAAAAAATTACTATTTAGTTTCCAGGTGATCAAATAAGTAAATTCATCAAGCTGTGCTAAAACTGACATGATTACAATCACCAGTAAGTTAAATATCAGTAAGTTTAAAGTTTACACTCCCTAATCTAAAATTCTTGAACAATAATTTCTTCTTTCCCACACACTCAAAAGTTTCTCCAAAATGACAAAACATGGATGATACCAATTCTCAATCTGAAGTGCTTACGTCAGGTACTCACCTTTTTCTGAAGAACATTGATTTTCCTCTCCTTCACTTCTAACATATCCTTCATGTCTCGAATCTCTCCAGCCAGTGTCCCCTTCTCTTCTGTGAGGTCCTGCAGCTGTTTCGTTTTTTTATTGAGAAAAGATTCTTTCTCTTCTAGCCGTAATCTCAGTGCATCTACCTGAAATCAGGAAAAAGAAAAAAGGTTGCAGTTTTACAGATAGGTCATCAGTAACTACCAGTCCTGCCCTGGGAGGTTGGGTGGGGCAGCAGTACACCTTCTGAGCAGCATGATCAAATACTGCTCATAGGCAACTCCAGGCTATGTGTTTTAAAGCCTACATCTACCTTAAAATCCTGCTGCATGCGTAGCTGATCAGTGATATATATTTTTTTAATTACAAGGTTTATATGAAGTAAGATGTTATGAAGTCATCTCATGTTGAGAGGCCAAAAGTTGGGAAACAAAGCACATGAATTCTCTGCATCTTTGAGACCCCAGGGAGGGCACAACACTGTCCATGCCAGGTAGCATCCTCCAGGAATACAGAGAACACAATGAGCCATGCCACGGACATCTGGGAGAACAAGGCTGGCAATAGAGGAACACTTCTAAATTAGAAAAAGACGTGTGGCCAAGACGAAGTAAATGCTGTTAGAGGAAGAAAATGCTGTGGATGACATCCATCCTACAGCTTCATGAAAGACTGCTTTACAACACTAAAGAAAACATTTAAACTTCTATAATTTCTGCTTTTCAAATGTTGGTAATAGAATGGGGAAACATAAGCTTTTTTTTTTTTTTAATGTTAACAGTCCAAAGATCATGTGCAAAAAATGTTTACATGGGTGATGCAGGACACTAGGATGACAGACAACTCTAATCCTCACCTTCCACATTGGGAATTGGATAAACAGAAGCAAATCAACACTAGGAAGCAATTAAGCATGTTATTGAGAGATATCAAAATAACCATGCATAGGGAGCTTAAAGAGCTGACCTTGAGGAAGAAGAATGGGACAGGGGTAAGTTGGGGACTGCTGCATCTCATAGCATATCTTGTTGAACATTTGCTCGTTATACTATTTGCAAGTAAAGTTTAGAAGAACACAGAAAAAAACAAAAAATGTTTTTTAAAAAAGGAGCAGGAATACTGTAATAAGTCAAAATAAATAGATATAAAAATATTATAAGGACAAAGAGTCAAAGGCGATTTGGAACAAAGGAAAGAAGACACTTAGGTTTTAGGTTCTGCTTCTATCTGGGCTTCCCTGGTTGCTCAGACAGTAAAGAATCTGCCTACAAGCATGAGATCTGGATTCAATCCCTGGGTCAGGAAGATTCCCTGGAGAAGGGAATGGCAACCCATTCCAGGGTTCTTGCCTGGAGAATCCCATGGACAGAGCAGCCTGGTAGGCTGTAGTCCATAGGGTCACAAAGAGTCAGACACCACTGAGTGACCAGCGCTACTTCTACCTGTGAGGATGAGCACAAATAACTCTCACTTGCCCACACCAAGTCTTCAGCCTCAGTTTCTTCACTTATAAAACAAAGAGGTAAGGACTGACTATCTCGAAGTGCCTGGCATTTTATGATTTTAAAGACAGCAATCAGTCCTAGGTAGAACACATCAGGGCAGGAAAATACTAGAAATAAAAAAGTTATCAGGGAAGAATCTCCTTTTCTTACCCCTGTTGAAGAAAGAAGGGCCAAAGTAGTGTTTTTAAATGTCAAAGGTGATGGGGAGGTAGGTAAGCAGAGAGGTTTTCTAGTTTCTGCCCCAGACAGCAAGATGAAGCTGGGAGACCCCAGCAAGGGCAGAGGTGATGACAAGTGCTGGAAGCCCCATTGGCTGAATGACCCTGACTGCATTATGAGAGAGGACGGACACTCTGTGGTTTCAGAAGGAGAGAACTGCTGAGTCTGCAAACATCTGACAGCTCTGCCTCTTCGCACATAATGGCTATAGAGATCTGGGGACAGAGGTGAGGGGGAAATTCATATCCTGGTGACCTTCCCTTTCCTAAATGAAAAACTCACGCATGCCAGTTGCACTAAAGCTTAAAAATTCCAGATTCTCAAGTGATCTATGTAAAAAGTCATCTTCATCTACCAACTCGGAATAACATCAGTACTTCTCTTTGAGTTTTCCTCTTATCCGGTGAAAAAATGTGATTTTTAGTTTATACGTAAAAGGGTAGCATTTAGTGGGTTCCTTCGAAATTGGCAGAACATGTTGATCACTGCAGGTTACAGCAGTGGTTAGAAAGGGTTATACATTCAATTTTAGGGATCTGCACATAGGCTAACTAGGATTCTGTGCAAATTGGAGAAGAAACTGTGGTCCCATTAGCCCCACATTCTACCTATCAAAGATGGTGGTCTTTATCTGGACAAAGGAAACACCCAATCCAAATCCATGATATAAATAAATTACAACATGGGAGACAGTGAGTGATGCTAGAGAACGTTTCAGAAGAGACTATCTAATTGATCAATAGTAAGCTTAACATTTGTAGTGCCTTCTGGCTATGTGTGATCTTTCAATGTCTTGCTCCATCTTAGTAAGTCCGTAAGAGATTAAAACAGCAACACGAGCTTTTGTAAGGACTATTAAGTAAGACTATTTCTCCAGGAACAAAACGGAGAGCAAAGTTGCTCGTGATCAACACATTACTCGCAACACCCAAACTCTACAAGGCAGGAGGGAGTCTGTGCCAGCCAAGGTCTTCTGTTTGTGAGTTTATTTTCCATGCGTCTGACAGCATGTACTTAGCTTCAAAGGAATTTGAATTGTGGCCTTCAATCGCCTTCACTCTATCTCTACAGCTTTGCATAGCCTCCTAGAATCAAGAAATGAAGTTTAAGGTTTGTTTTTTTTTAAAGACAAAATGTTGACCTGAACTACATCCAATTCTCAACCAACATAAGACCAGTTTGCAGTAAGCAAGCATGACATCATTTCTAAAGTCAAATTTTAACTTCCAGATGGTGCAAAACCACAAGCAGGCGCACAGACCTTCTGATGCACAGAAGTTTAAACACAGGAATCAGGCCAGAAAGAAGATAGTCTATTAAAAATTAGAATATGTAGTTCCAAACTGAGTATCAGTGAGTAGGATTAAAATTCCCTTCACTAATATTTGAACTTCACTCGATAGTATACTTCATTTTTAAAAAGAATCAGAAAAGCCTTCAAGTTTAGATTATATTCCAACATCAGGTAGAGACATAAAAGTTAAAATGTTTGGGAATATGAAATACCTTTCTCTACCTCTTCACTCAACACCAAATAATTTTAAGGGCCCTTGACTCTCTCTCTCAAACTTTGGCAGTTGACTCAATAATAAAACTTGGCAAAACAAAGAGCACCATCATTTCCCAGAAAAACAAAAGAAAATTAGAACTGCATGATATTGTCAGTGCACAAAGACCCATAGGTTGAATTTCCAGTTTTTACACATTATTTAACCACATGGGAGCTAGTCACCTAATGTTAAAACTAAGACAATCTTTTCATTTTAGGAGAATTACTCATTTCCTTCTGAACCAGTTGTGTGTATATTCGTGTCTGTATGTGGGCGCATGTGTGTGTATGTTTAAAAGCATGTAACATATGAAAATTTAACCTTTTACCTGGCAGTATAAAGCATGAAGCATTTGTTACCACTTCGGTTCCAGGTAATAACTTGAAAGAAAATGACCAATGCAATGAAATTGGCAAAAATTGCCAAAATCAGAGCTAAACATTATTAATCTTCATGTCAGCACCCAGGAATTATAACCAGTTCCAATGGTGAGGTATGTTTCTAGAAGTTTTGTACATAAGCTTCCTGACCTTCCTGCCATATTTTACACGGGCCTTCAGAAACAGTTTCAATGTTGTGACAAAACACTAAGTGCTACTTGATATGCCATAAATAATTTTTAAAAATCAAATGGTTCATTTCCATCCTAAAATGACTACAGCAACACTTGAGAGAAAGAAAAAAAAAAAAAAAACACTTGAGAGAGAAAAAGCGGCCACTTGAAAATTTTCACAGATTAAATACTACTTACTTGACAACACTTCAGGCATTGAATAAACATGCTATCAGAAAGAACAACTTTAAAAGAAAATGAAACTGGAACATACACAAAAGCTCCCAATACAGTTTTATTTCACATTTAAAGTGTCATTTGTTTGTTTTTCCTAATAGTAGACTTGGGTTAACAGTATATTTGAATTTGATTCAACTTGCAATCATTCAAATGGGGAGACAGATTCAAAGTTGGAAGTATGTATAATATATGGAAGTATGTTTCCAAAGACAAAAACACTGAAAATAACCTAAAATCTAGAAGTCGCTGTGGTAGTAACCACTAGTTCTCACTCAAATCCAATTTGCTTTTCCTTCCTGAACACTGGAGCAATCTCTCTTTCCAGCCCCCTTGTGGGAAAATGGAGCCATTCATGAAATGTAAGCAGAGCATTATACATCACTTCCTATCCACACCTCCTTGACACCCCTCCCCTTCCTTGAGACTAGAAAGGATACATTTTCCACATGGTGAAGCTACAAGACAGCAGAACCTCCATATATCTGCTTCCTCAAGAAGTAGGATTACCCCTAACTTCCTGACCCCCAAAAGTATGATGTGTTAAACCACTCAATCACTATCATTTCCCCTGGTTTTATTAAAAAGTGGGTACCTTAAAACTAGAAAGGTTTGTCTTAGAGATGACCATAAACCTACATGAAACTGGGTCACTGTTCTTCCCTCTACTTCTTCAATGTGTAAGAACTCAAAATCTACTTTCCTCTATCCTTTCATCCCAATTCCAAAGAAGTGTGGCAGGGGTTGGGGGGCAGGGAGATGGTTGACAGAGATCCAAGGATAGAGCTGAAAGGAAGCAGCAGCAGAATCCTAGGGAGTAAACACAGAGGTTAAAGATCAAGACCTTGGGGAGAAGAGAAAAAGAGATCAAAGAGGAAGAGTCTCCTATAGCACACTGGTTTGAACTTCCATTCGTATCAACGAGTAGTTCAAGTGGACAACTCTGTTTTGCAAAGTCTCTCCATTGAAAATATATGTGTTCAAGCAACTCATGGCAATGGCCATGGCCATGGACTTACTCACCCAGCCTTCCAAATGTCAAGAATAAATCAAAGGTGTCATAAGCAAAATGAGGATAATAA